CGGCACCGGGGCTGTCCCGTGGCCGCGGCGGCCTCAGCTCCCGCCGGGCTGGGGTACGGAGAGTCCGACCGCTTCCAGGGCGGTGCGTACTGCGCCTGCGCGGGCTCCTCAGAGGGTGTGGGAAGGGAGGGGGCGATGTCCCAGGGGCCTCGGGGCCTGGGTTGGAGATGTTGGAGGTCAGGGTAAGGGATGGGAGTAAAGATGGAAAATGGAGGCAGGGAGCAGCCGTGGGGAGGAGTCGCGGAGTGAGAAAGGGGCGCAGGAGGGTGGATGGCTGGGGAGGCTAGTGGAGCCTGGAGGAGTGCGGGAGGGAGGGGGCCTGGGCGGGCTGGAGGGGGCCGGGGGGAACAACGTGGTGTTTAAATGGGCCGTGATTGACGGGCCGGGAGGAGAAGAGAGCGTTCTGGGGGCCAGCCAGGGCCGGGGCGGCGGAACCTGAACCCCCGCCCTCGAAGCGCCATAGCTTGGCTCGTCTCCCGCGCCTTGTCTTTGGCAGCCTTGTCTTCCTCCTTCATTCCTCCCCCCCTCCCCTCTCCCCCTCCTTCATGAAGGAATCTCACATTCCTTACATCCCTGCCCGGGGTTTTTGGCCAAGCCCTCTTCTCGGGCTTCACACACCGGAAAGCCGCCCCCAGCGCGGGACGCGGGGGAAATTGAGGCGTGGGGAGGAGGGAGTGCAGAAGGAGCAGGAAGCCGGGGGGAGGCGGGGGGCCCGAGGGGCCGAAAGACATCGTCCCCGTTCAGAAAGGACTTCGTTCCACCGAATAGCAAGCGTGGCTGTTCATGTGGCCACCGGGCCACGCTCTCGGAGGCCGGGCTGTGATGGGAGAGGCTCATCCCTCCCTGTACAGGTGGTTTCAGAATCGACAATAGGGCGAGAAGCGAGCGTTCAGCTTCCTGGCGGATCGTTTTCTCCCAGTAGGAATGGAGTTGACTGGTGGTAGGGAATCCGAGTGATGCAATCATGTTACTACCCTGTGCGCCCAGCTGCCTTGGTGGCGGGGCCTGGTTTGCAGTCACTGAAAAGAAGGAACAGGCGCCTGCCCCGCATGTCCTCCCTGGCCCTCCGCGCTCTAGCTTAGTTTGCGCTGTTACCACAGATGCCTTACCGGAGCAGAGCCTGTTTCGGATGCTTTCACATGCATTATGTCATTTGCCTTTTCATGTGAGGGAGTAAGGCAGGGGATCATTTTCCCTACTGGACAGAAGGGTGGCGTGGCTTGCTAAAAGTCATACAGTTGGCAAAGCTGGGACCAGAAACTCAGTCTCCTGACTCCTGGCTCTCCTCTCAGTTGAAAAATGCTGTTTTGTTCTGGCCAAGGGAGAGTCAAAGTAGGACTGATTCTCCCAGCATGGGCAACTGTTTGGTTTCTGAGACGGGAACTTGTCGCTAGAAGACGGAGCAGAGCCATCCACACTGGTTCCTGGAAGCATTTCGCGAGGTACAGGGGCATGTGCCAGGCCGTGGGAAATAAGGTATTGTCAAAAGGGAAGAGCATCACACCCTCTGTATTGTGGGTGGCAGACACGTTATCAACGCACCCCCACCCGCGACCACAGGGGAGAGAAAGTGTGGTCTGACATTTCACCTTTATCTCTGAGCATAAAAACTAATGAGCATGTGTACCAGACTGAGAAGATGAAATGGCCCCATTTTTATGTATAGAAATCATCCTCCTATTCCTTTTTAACACAGCCCTTAATCTCTTGATGGTGAGGAAAGTAGTTTGAATGGTTGCTATTCTCCTGCAAAGTGTTGAATAGCTCTCAGCCTCGTTCATCTGAAACCTGGTCTCCCTCTACTTGGTTCCATCCTTTTAGCAACAGCTGTCTGGTCAGCCTAATCAAACTGCTACCTCTAGTCTGCCCAGTTGCCCACCCTGGAATGATTTCCCAATTCACTGCCTCTATGTTTTTAAAAAGCCTGGTCCCCTCAGGAGTACATTCTTGCTTGGGAAGTTGAAATGCATCTGTACTAACATTCATGAGTATCTTTATCTTATGAAATAGTATTTTCCAACTGGAGGATAGACCAGAATTCTTTTTACATGAAATAATTTATGTGAAAGCACTTTGGAAACATGAAAGTATTATGCTGTGCATGTAAGGTATCATGGATCTAGGCATTATGTAGCCACAAAGTTAGAATTATTGACATTACTGGTAGTTGTGTACACAAAATAAAAGAATCCTTTGTTGCCCTGGCTGGCGTGCTCAGTGGTTAGAGCGTTGGCCCTCGCACCTTAAGGATCACAGGTTCTATATCCACTCACACATTGATGTTTCTCTTTTTCTCCTCCGCTCCTCCCACTCTCTAAAAATCAATGGAGACGGCCGGTGTTGCTCAGTGGTTGGGCACTGACCCATGAGCCAGGAGGTCACAGTTTGATTTCTAGTCAGGGCACATGCCAGGGTTTTGGATTTGATGTCAGTAGGGGGCGTGTAGGAGGCAACTGATCAATGATTTTCATCATTGATATTTCCCTCTCCCTGCCTCTCTCTGAAATCATTTTTAAAAAATCAATGGAAAAAAAAGTCTCGGGTGAGGATTAACAAACAAAAAAAGAATCTGTCTACTTCACATTTCTCCCCTTTTCTGCCTTTCTTCTCGTCCCTTTCTTTCCCCCTCTCAGGTATGTTTGAATCTCTTAGACTTAGACCATGCATGTGATTCCTTAGCTAATGATCTTGCTCCTTAGAGGGGAGTCCTACATGTTTAGCACAGAAACCTTAATAGAGTTGTCTCATACTCCGCACTCAACCACCAGATCCAA